GTCGACATCTACGCTCCCGGTGTTAATGTCCTCAGTGTTGGTATCAAGTCAAACACTGACACCGCTACCCTCAGCGGTACCAGCATGGGTATGTCTTACTTCCCTACCTCTACTAAGTCAAGTCTCAAACTAACATGTTTCATAGCCTCTCCTCACGTTGCCGGTCTCGCCGCCTACCTCATGGGCTTCCAGCAGCTCGATGGTCCTGCTCAGGTCGCCAGCCTCATCAAGAGCCTCGCTGGGCAGACCGGTGCCAAGGTCAGAAACAATGTCCAAGGCACAACCGACAACATCGCCAACAACGGCAACCAATAGAAGCATCATCGCAGCAGCAGCATCAATTAGGGAACCAGGGACGAGGGAAAGCGGAATTTTTCTTATACCACAAAAATATTTCAGGATAATTGGCCACTTAACCGTACAAACCTGAACCATTTATGCCTCGTGTATGTATGGGATATAATTTAGGGTGTCATTTATGAATCATCTCAAGTCATGTGTGTCAGGAGTTTTCTTTGAGGCTTGGAAATGGTCTAACCGAGCGTGTTTGTTAGTATAGATGGTACGTAACGGCATTATAGACCTTCTAGATTACCATTTGCTTTTCACTGTCAGTGCATGAAGTGACAAGTTTGACGTACGCCACTTAGTGAATGTAAGATTCATGCTCCTCGGGGTATCAGAAGACTGAAGGACCCCGAATCGGGGCCGAAAACAACTAGTCAAAGAGCCTGCTAAACTCATAATAATTTAGGATAAGTTGCTATAAATTATCCTAAACTTATCTAAGTATTTTCTCAGGATTAAAGGCCAAAGTTTCCTGCCATTCTCTAGCCTGCCGTGCACCTTGATGCCTTAAAAAGAGCAGGACGATGTAACCAAAACCCCTGAATGATGGGCACGTCCGTCGATGAAAGATCGGCTAAGGCATGTCCCGCCAGTAGTGTACCAGCATGTCGCACCAACAGCATCAAAGGTGAAACCTTGCCCGGACGCATTTCATGCCTTACTAGTAATAGCACGTCCCTAAGGAGCAAGTATCGCCAAACACGGGTCGAATCAGAGATGAACTAATTTCTAAAAGGATGAAATGTTTGCTCGCCGCCACCAGTCTGGCATCCTACGATGTTGAGACAGACTTGTGGCGTGACGTCGCCGTGAGGCGGAAACCAAGAGCAAAGAGATATTTAATTTTCGCACTTCTTCGGCACAATCATAGTCATGGAAGGACTCGATTGCAATTTGACATCCGTGCAGGAGTTGAGCTGGGTTTCAAGACAAGAGACAACATCATCAGTGGGTGAACGGGACGAAACTTGAACTGCAACGCGCGCTGTATCGCGCCGCTGCAGGTAGTATTAAACAAGAGTATAAAGCCGAGCAATATGCCGCTGAGCAGGTCCTGTCATATGAGGACCATTGCTAAATATGGTATGTACGTTAGGATATCGTTAAAAACGTTCGTGCCGTGAACAAAGCAAAACAGATCGGCGCGCATAATATTACAATTCTTCGTGACCCGTGATCATGGGGGTAGCCTTCTCGCCACCTGGTAGGAAGACGCTGGCTTCCCTAAAGATAGTATCGAATCTGGCTCCGAAGAACCAAGCGGTACCGATCTGTGGATCGGGTGTTAGTTGAGTACGGCCTTGAGAGTATGGGGCTGGCGTACCATAAGACCAGAAATGCAGACCAGAGCTGCAATGACAACACCGAAGAGAACAACAGCCTCGCCAGAGTCCATGGTTGGCTCCTTGTTTTGAATCTGGTTCTGTGTAGCGGCTAGCTTCTTGGGGTCCTGCTTGGGGAAGAGAGTCTCGATGAATTGCTCAATCTGGAACTTGTTAGCGAACGGATATCAGAGATGCTTAAGGGGAAAGCTGACCTTTGCACATTGAGCACTGATGGCAAGGAAGTTGGGATCACGAGGGTCGTTCTTCTTGGCGATTTGTCGAGCATATCGCTTAAAGACCTCACATACTGTGTAGAGGTTTTGTGTACAGTCGAACATGATCTTGCAGGCATCGCCCTTTGTGATCTTGACGTTCCTCTTGAGCACCTCAGGGTTACGGAAGACGAGCTCCAGTGTCGCAATAGCCATGCCTTGAGGAATAGCGACGAAGTTGAAAACACTCTGGTCCTTGATACCCGCCATGTAGAAGAGACACTCCTCGCTGTGCTTCAGCGCATCGAGAACCATCGCTGAGACACACTCCAGAGCCTTTGTTTGCTGGCTGGGGTCGAACATATCTTCCCACTTCTCGACGTGCTGGCTCCAGATCTCCTTGGGGTACCATCTTCGACCATCTTGCCAGTCCTCGTGGATATCTCGAATGATGTTGGTCTTCTGGAGAAATTGACCCATTGACTCGGTAAGAGAAGGACGCTCAGCAAGCTTGGGGTTAGCCAGCTCTGACTCAACGAACAGACGCGTTAGGCCCTCGCCAACGAGACCAGCGACGTAATGGCAGTACAGCTCGTACTCCTCAATAGTCTGCACACCGTTCTTGATCATCTCCTCGTTTTGGGCATAGTCAGCCATACCATTGCCCATCTTGCGAGTCATGTCCTTGATGATCTGGTAGTAGGGGGCCTTGATCTTCTTGAGCTCTGCAATGACCACATCGAAGTGCTCCAACAGCTCCTTATCCTTCTCTTGACTCTCATGGAATTGCCAACCATCTTCTTCCATGGTGATGTGGAAGTTTCGAAGGAGGGGAACCTTCTTGTCTAGGGGGATGGTCATGTCATCCTCGATGGTGTCTAGGCCACGGAGGCAGAGGTAGAAGAGAGTGATGGGGACGAGGAGTTCGTGGTTAAGCTCTTGAATGACAGCCGCAAAACTGCGACTTGTCATGTCGAGGTAACGAAAGCATTCTTTTAGCTCTGGGGACTCTGTGCTGGGATCGCGCTGGTGGACGGGATCATGCCAGACCTTCCTGGAGCAATGTTAGGCATGTTCTTTTGGTGTGAGCGCGAAAGGGCAGAGACTTACCATTGAATGATCGATCGAAGCTGGTAAGGATGGAAGAGGTAGTAGAGGTAACCCATCTTGGCGGTGGTAGCGTGAGGGGGTAGGAGAGGTAGAGGTGAAGCGTGTGAGAGCTTGAACTGAGCAGTGCACGTCTTGATACAGACGTACAAGGTCAGGTAGACGGGAGGAAGCAAATGTTATATATCAATTAAGTTGCGACCAGATCCCGGAAACGTCTTGGGTGTATTTTCTCACCACCAGATGCTTGGAGAAGAAAGACGAGAGGACAGATGGGAGAAGCAAAATAAGAGGATGGCCTCCGCTCCGGATAAATCCACAAATTATGCACAGAGCTCAATTTCTCGCCTGGCAGGGTGGGTGCTGCTGACCCTTGTAGAACGATCGTGCCGATAGGGGCATAAGCGCCGCGTTACATGCATTAATTGTCGTATTCGGGTTCAATGACTGGTTCCTGATTGTGATTAGGCTTTCGTCACACTGCAAGTCATCAATTAATTCCAGGCCTCCCATCTTTGATCTGCGCTTAAGCAACAAGTGGGTAGCATCCGGAGGTTGGTTACAGTTGATCGGATCTTGCAGGTTGTCAATCAGCCGGAACTCCGGTTACAACTCCGCCCCCGAATAGCAATTCAAATGCCGGTCCGAACGCCGTAATGGTGTGTGTTCAGGCCGAATGTTGAGACGAAACATTCAAGCAAGCTGGCGTCCTAGACGGTGAAACATAACTTCTGGGATACATATTGAGCTCTGATTGTTTCTCTCAAACTGTGGGTGTTAGAATTCAGTATTCCGCAACTATCTGGCCTCATTATCGCACAGGGTCTTTGATTCGACGAACTTTACAAGCTGTTGACAGATCATAGAATTGCTCTATCTTAACGTCTCCCAAGTCTAATGTGGTCTAGATCTAAGATTACCAGCGGCTTGGTCAATCCATGGACCCTTATGCATGTAAACGATCCGGACCTCCTGACCGCCCAGCCGGATTTATCCAACGCCGCTAGAGTGACAGAAGTCTAAGACCAGTATTGGAGAATTCCAGTAGAGGTGAATCCTTAGCCTTGACGGTTTATCTTCTGCAATTAACCTCATTTGATATACCAGGTCTCTTTGCACCCCGAGGCGCCGTCAGCTGAACCTTACGCCACCAGGTTTGCAACGACATACGGCGCTCACTGGCCTGACCTACTTAGGTGATATGAAGATGGCACAAGACAGGCCCAAGAGCCTCTAAACTCAATTGATATTGTTAAAACTCGAACACTCAAAATGGTGGAAACCCCTCTTATCGTCTGAATATCCTGGAAACTTATATTGATCATTGATCAGGATACAGTCCGCACAACACGTGAATTGCGTCTTGCCATGAAATCTCACACGAAAGGCTTTCAGATCTGTATCGTTTAGAGGAAAATGAATGATAAGCAAGGCTCGAGACTTGTTTCTGGGAGTGATACCTCTCGGAAGTTCTAGATCTGGAATGTGCTCATGCTCTATTCTGAGAACAACGTCCACGCAAGTGCATGGTATTAGAGGCTTTCAGATGTTCCAATAACTCACAGAAGATTTGCGCGATGAAGCGAACATATCTTCTTGAAGTCAATATGAACCGTGGGACCAACTTGGGTGAGGTTGGTAGGTAAGGTATGTTGTTTCAGTACGAAAAGAGCATGTTCACTTCTATTTCCAAGTTTCTCAGGGTGCTTTTCTATTGCTGCCTTCACTTGTGCTTAAAGGAGGGCAAGCTAGAATCCAGATCCACGACTCAATTGTTGTTAGGGTCCTCTTTCTAACATTGCAAAGAATGTGCCTTTTAGTGGCTGTTACTCAACGTCGGAGAAACCGTATATTGGGAAGGGGCCAACCTGGAAACGATCGGAGTCCAAGTCAAACTTGTCATTCTTCTTCTCCTTGACTTCTGATTCTCATAAAGCATCATTCTTCTACTTTGGACCTCGAGATATAACCTTCCAGAGAGCTCTGTTATATTCGCATCAACAACAGCATGCCTTCCCCGCCCAACAAACCCACGCTGCCACAGGTCACTGGACAAGCTACTTCGCAACTTAGTGAGCTCAGTTTCCTCAGTTTCGTGATCTTGAGAACTGTTAAAACAGTTTGGTTCAGTACCCTGTTGGAAGCGGAGCTCAGAAAGGGAAATCATCAATACAGGCATTGCACGGCTACAACTCTAGCAACATGTATAGCGGCATTGGAAGCAGACCCACCAACTCACGTTTTTGTCGTCTTCGACGATGCCGTGGATAATATCGACTATACCGTGGATGATATCGACGATGCCGTGGATGGTATCGAGGACACCACCCCACGCGAGATAAAGCCTCTAGACACTGTCACGAAGTCATCCATCCTAGAGTTCTGCGCCGATCGGAAGATCCATTGCACATTCTTCAGTAACGGAAACTTCTATCGACACGATGAGAGAAACTGTTTCTACGACAGTGGTTTCAAAGAAGACGCCGAGCCAAACTTCGAACTGCATCCAATCTCTCGTACTACATATGATTTTCAACAAGTTAGTACAGTGGCATCTCTGACTTTGCTCAAACTCATGCAATGGCCAGTATCTAGCACGCAAGCACGAAAAAGACGCCCTCGTTCTACGCCTTCGTTCACCTATTTGGGATAATTTTAATGGCTTTCTTGATAAGTTTGAGCGCGCGCGCAACAAGCATAACAGTTGGTCGGTTTTGCACGATGTCCTACCTGCTGCAGTCTTTTTAGCAAGACATGAAGTGACAGGCACATTCAACTTCACTAACCCGGGTACAACTACATCCTACAACGCGCTGGTTCTGTTACGGGACGAATTTAATCCCAAAATGAGTTTCACGATGCCACCAGATATAAACCCGAAGGATGCCAAGGCGGTCTACAGGAGTGATTGCAAACTGGATATGACCAAGCTGCAAGATGCTCTTAAAATTCGGGGGTATCCGGATATCCCTGGGATAGAAGAGGCTCTTCGGAACTGTTGTAAAAGAATGAAGAGTAGTAAAATAGGCCCATGAATAAATAAAAGGGGATAGACGCTAAAAACCGTTTTATAGCAATAATCAGAGAACTTAATTATAGGGTTTTATTTTCTTTTATTTTCTATTAAATATTTGGTAATATTGTCTTAATGCTATTTGACAAGAAGAAGCATCTGTCTTTTTCTCACATCCTCCATACTCCGTAGTAGCATCTATCCATGTCTATTCCAGCATAGCCCCACCATTACGTAGCCCTGGCTCTCTACCTTATGAGACCCCTCTCTCTGGGCTAGAAAAGGCTGGCGCTGGGCTGTAGGTACATTACTGTACGTTGGGCTGGGCACGAAGCCTAAACGGAAAGTTTCTTACCTCCCGCCCACTGGCAGGGCAGGGACGGGAGCTTGCGTAAATACAGAGGCGCTGTAGAATACGTTACGTTAATCATTGAATGCCAGGAAATTTCCGCCAAGGCAATTTAGCCAAGCTTGGGGTGGGCTGGCAGGCACCTTAGTTCGTTTAGGCAATCCGACGCCATCATCAACATTTCATTTCCATCGTTTCTTGCTTGCAACAATTTTTTTCCTCCTCCCATAACCTATCTTAGTAGTTGATATCTACTAACCTACCTTAACGTCAACCATTCATATTCTCTACCTACGACCTGTACCCTAGATTGAGTACCTGGAACCTGGAAACACCAAGCATACCCATTACCATCTTCCATCATGGTCGTCGATACCGCCTATTACGACACTCTGGGCGTCCAGCCCACGGCCACCGAGCTGGAGATCAAGAAGGCTTATCGCAAGATGGCTATTGTCCACCACCCAGGTTCGCTCTTGTGCCTCACTTCTACCGCTTCATAGCACTTCGGAGAACTAAACATCTGTCACATCGCAGACAAGAATCCCAATGATCCTACCGCCCACGAAAAGTTCCAGGCCATCGGTGAGGCCTATCAAGTCCTGTCCGATTCCGATCTACGCGCAGCCTACGATAAGTTCGGAAAGGACTCTGCGAGACCGCAGGAGGGTTTCGCCGATCCAGCTGAATTCTTCAGCTCCATCTTCGGAGGTGAGGCCTTCGTGGACTGGATCGGTGAGATCAGTCTCATGAAGGACCTCACGGCAACCATGGATATTACGATGCAGGAGGAGGAAGAAGCTGCGGCTGCTGAAGCGGCTGCGGCTGCGCAAGCCGAGGAGGATTTCCCTGGAACTGAAGATGCCAAGAAGGAGAGCCTCAAGGAGCAAGAGCAGAAGGCAGAGGAGAAGGCCGCTGCCGCTGCAGAGCACCAAGCAGGCCCACCACCGCCGCCTTATGCTGCCGCTTCTGTCAACAACGACAAGGAGACCAAGCCCGCTTCACCTGCCGCGCCCGCCCCTGGCCTCTCCGCCGACACCCCTCAGCGAACCGATGCCACATCGCCTGCCCCCTCGTCGAGCTCTCGTAACCGAACCCAGATTCCTCTTCGACCCGCACTGATGGACAAGTCTCATGAGGACCTTCTTGATGCAGAGGCGAACAAGGGTGAATTAACAGAGGAGGAACTCAAGCACAAGGAGAAGAAGAAGGGTGGTCTGACCAAGGAGCAGCGAGAGCAGCTGGCAGCATACGAGAAGGAGCGCGCCAAGATTCGCCAGGAGCGTGTCGATACCCTCGCCCGAAAGCTTCTCGACCGGCTTAGCGTGTGGACAGAGACAGACAAGGGTCCTGACGTGACCAAGGCATTCCAGGAGAAGATGCGTCTCGAGGTCGAGAACCTGAAGATGGAATCTTTCGGAATTGATATCCTACACGCTATCGGTCAAACATATGTCTCAAAGGCCTCCAGCTTGCTCCGCAGCCAGAAGTTTTTTGGTATCGGTGGTTTCTTCAGCAGACTTCGTGACAAGGGCACACTCGTCAAGGAGACATGGAACACTATCAGCAGCGCTATCGATGCTCAACAGACCATGGAGGATATGGCTAAGATGGAGGAGAAGGGTGGCGAGGACTGGACTGATGAGAAGCGTGCTGAATATGAGAGACGTGTGACTGGCAAGATTCTCACTGCCGCATGGAGGGGCAGCAAGTTCGAGATCCAGAGCGTCCTGCGCGAGGTTTGCGACAGCATTCTGAACGACAAGAAGGTCCACCTCAACAAACGACTTGAGCGCGCGCAGGCTCTGGTCCTGATTGGTGATGTCTTTATCCGGGTATGTTTCAAGTCCTATTTTTCCGAATCACACTAACATCATCTAGGCTGAGCGATCTCCTGAAGAGGAGGGTGACTATCTCGTCTTCGAGCAGCTCGTCGCTGAGGCCGCCATGAAGAAGGACAAGGAGGAAGACCACAAGAAGAAGAAGGACCGCAAGTCCTTCCACAGCAAGGACAAGGAATCCAAAGACAAGGAGCACGCTACGACACCCTAAGCAGGAACGAAGTTTCCTGGGGAGTTGGCAAATGGTAGAGACAAGACAACATAGCAAGGTTGAAGAAGACCTACTTGTTTGAGGACTCTGAAAATGGTGGCGGATATCAACATGATGGACTTTGCTTGGCGGCTTGCATGCTGGACTGGTGGATGTTATAGATCGAGGATGACTGGCATTGATTTAGATATAATTTTCATGACACTATTCCCCCCTTTATGAAATCTGACGGCGTTTATTTGGCAACTTCAAATACGTTGCTTATCCGGGTGTATGCACATAGATCAAAAACACAGGTCAGATGATGAAGTTGAGTTGAAGATTGGAGTTTCATCTCCTGATATCCTATATCCATTTCCTATTTCTGGCAACTATCTAGTTTTTCCTACGCATCCGATCTTGGAACTTGAGGTAACTGTCTCGCGGGAAGCTTGAGAAGCAATTCCCGGGTCAGGTTCTCTTTTCTGCAATTTCCTTCAATGATTCCATCTTATTGACTCGCCAGGTTGGCGCGGAAACTTCCTCCGGGGTATCTGTTATACATAGTATGTATCCAAAAGCAAAAAAAAAAAAAAAGCACAATTCTTGGCGACAAATGAAAATCAAAAAGGCCCAAATCTCCGAAGGGCGTATGTATATGTAACGATTGTCCAGGCCGAATATTTGTGGTGGTGCTCCTTTTGGGAGAGAGAAGATCGTTCGAGAGGTGGAATCGATGGTGCATCGTAGCCGCTGGGAAGCAAAACGCTGTTGAAAGAAACAAAAGGGGCATAAAAATGATCGCTTGCTTGCCCAACGCCTTGTATGCATGCATGTTATTTCCATTGACTTCGTAGATCTGATGATGATATTTTGTTGTGTTGCCCTGAGGCTTGCCTGGTGTGTAGAGACGAAAAGAAGGAAAACAAAATTTGGTATGGTGAGTTGTATGCGGTGCGACAACCTGGTCGCTTTTGAGATGTGTCGAGTATTGAGCTAATGTGTCATTCTGTGATGAGCGAAATTAGTTACTGTCTGGCTGCAATTCGATGCCACTATCACGATCCTGGGAGCCCTTTTCCCAAGGCAGAGGAGGCTCAAGTGCTGCACTTCCAGGATCAGTTTCGAGATCGCCAACCTCAGACAAAGCATCATCTTCATCTTCGTCTTCGTCCCCGATCGCAGGAGCAAGTATATGACCGCCAAATTCAACGTCCGTGACGCGGACCTTGTACTCGAGTGCCTTCTGGCCTTCCTTGATAAGAACTTCAGTCCAGTTCAGGCATCGTTTGATACTTTGGTTAATCTTCTGACTATCGACCAGTAACTCCCGGTGCTTGGTCAAATCGAGCTGCAGACGATCTTCGTCCCGCTTCCGTCGAGACATGGCCTTTTCGATCGCTTTCTCGTCGGTAGGATCAAGAGGGTCAGAAGCCGAGACTGAATCAGTCATTGACAAATCTGATTCGTCGAGTGAGTCGTGTTCTTCGTCTGAGGGAGCTGCCGAATTATCCTCTTCGCTAAGATCTGAAAGGCTGATGGGAGCATCTGTGAGTGCTGCAGAGGTGACTCGGCTAGAGGCTGCTGAAGCAACAGCAGAGAGACGGCCTGATCTTGAAAGTCGTCGATACCGGCGTATCTCGGCCTGCTGTTTCCGTAATTGTCTTTCCAGCGTCCGATTAATGGCTTCGAGGGAGGCGTTGGTGATTTCCAGATCTTGCACCTTTCGTTCTCTTCGGGCATTGGCTACGAGTTCGTTCACAGGCTCATGGCTGGACTTGGTAGGACTCTGCAAGTCGGGCTGGGATCCGTCGTCTTTCTTCGCTTCTCCTTCTTCATCCTCATCCTCATCGTCAAGATCTTCAGCAACTTGAAGGATCGAAGCCATGGTCAAAGCTGGCTGAGTTGAGCCAGGACTTGCAGGAGGTGAACCATATTCAAAAGGTCGTCGAGCCGGTGACATGGGCAACCTAGGTGAGTGAGAGTGGTCAAAGTTGGGAACACTACCAGCTCTTGCATGGCCCCTCTGCTTTTTTGGCGCTGCATCGATGCTAACTCGTCTCTTGGAGGATGTGATAGACGCCGGGGGGGCTAGTGGAGGTGGAGAAGCTATCTGAGGCGGTGACGCTATTTGCGGTCTGTTCCCAAGACCAGGTGCGCCTGTATTCTTAAGTATAGAAGGTGTAGGTTGAGCAATCTTAATAGGAGAGTGTGGCCTTGGTGGTAGTGCGTGATTTGATTGTTCGTTTGCTGAACTGCTGGTGCTTGGACGTTTAGACTGGAGCCTTGTTGTGGATGAATTCGCTGAAGAGGGCTTAAGCTCGAGATCTGCGCCATTGGCATAAAAGAACTTTGAAGATGAAGGTTCGGGTGCGGTGCTGAGTGTCGGTGTATATGGTGCAGAGACGGGAGGGCTAGTTGGCTTTTTGTATTCAGCATTGGCCTTATTGGCGTGGAAGTAGGATGCAGGCTTTTGTGAGCCTAATGAGGGACGACCGGTTGCTTGTGATGAAGTCGGAGCGTCGCTGGCACGAAAGAATTTGGCATCCGGGTCTGCTGGAGACTCGGCTCGAGACAGTGATTGCCTTCCTGAGGAGCCTAAAGAGGCTCGAGGATCCCATCCATCTCGATCTATATTTGGCGTCCCGTTGGGCGTCGAACTATTGCTATTATTGCGGCCTTGTCGACTGCCAGAACGGGGAGTAACAGCATCGTCGCGCCCAGACGTGCCTGAGCTCAATCCTTGAGTTGATCGTCGAACTAAAGGAGGTGCGCCTAATAAAGGGCCCTTTGCTGTCGAGGCAATCTTGGGCGTTAGGGGCGTTCGTCCGACTGTTTTTGCTGCAGCAGCGCTGAGCTGCGGGGGCCTATGTCTTGTGTCGCTAGGGGCCATTTTTGATGTAGGAGGAGCGGAACTCGACGAGGTAGAACGGGTCGAGGGAATTGTAGCGGTTACTGAAAGAACATGTTGTTGATTTGTGTCGTGGAAGCCAAGGGATGGCGTCGTGCGAGCGCTGGAGGATATAGTGGTACCAGCCGAGGGGAATCGGGGACGAGCCTGAGCCTTAGTCTGAACTTGTGCCTGACCTGGAGTAGGGGTCTTGGATCGAGTCTTTGGGAGAGGTTTAGAAGCGGTAACTAATTTGTTGTTTCCCGCGGAGGTAGCGGAGCGGCGGATGTGAGGCTGAGAGACTGAAAGGCCTGGAGATGTAGGACGAGAAGATGACGAGTTGATGGTGTTTAGAGTGCGCATTCTGTCCACGAGTTGGGTTGTCGGGAAAGCCTCGAGTGCTGGCTCAGGCTGAGATGAGTGGTAGCGGGACGGAGCAGTGAGCTCTCATTGGCTCTGTATGGAGGCGGTAACGGGAAAGGTTAAAGGGACTTCAGTGGGCAACGCCCTGTAATGCCAATGTTACAGCGCGGTGATCACTAAAACGCTAGTGGTTTCTAGCTAATTTGGGGTCCAATCTCAATGTCGAGGTGACCACACCCAAAAGTAAACAAACAGTTTCGATGATGAGAGACAAGAGGCGGTGGGGTCGAGTGTTGGATAGATGAAGTAGCTTGACGATTCGAAGCGGGGGATGTCTTTCTTTTCTGCTTGGTAGCTGCAGGTGACAAGGAGTATCCAATTGAGTTGTTCACGGCGGGTATAGACGAGATAACAATCACCGCCAGGTCACGACATAGCAAAAAAACAAGGCCGTCACGAATGATATCAGGAGTATGAGTCAAGGAGAAAAGAGAGGCGAAGGGACGAAGGGAGAGCCGAGAAAAGAGAAGCACAAACACGAAAATAGACGAGAAATGCTAGGGATAATACCTACCAGAAACTAGCGGGATGAACGGATCGTGGCCATTCATTCAAGGCGAAGGACATGGTCAGGATGGGACCATCCCTGCTCCAGTGTCTTGCTTTTTGACTTCTCTTTGAAATTGATCATGCTCATGTTTACTTTTCCATGACATTGAAATGCACATGGCATGCTATAGAGTCGGGTTTCATATGTCTTGCAATTGAGCAATGTGACTGGTTGTTGCCATCACGAAACATACCTGGCGGTCTAGATCAGATACGATAAGATGGACAATTTTTCATTTACAAGTGAGCGTCCCTCTGACATCGACAATACCCCCGTGAAACTCGCCTATAATTATAAGTATTGCAATATTTAGAACAATCAATTCCCCTTTCTCCATTCAATGGATCATTAAACATCCACCGCTTATTACATTTTATGCCAACTGAAATCACAGATCATGGAATGCCCCTTGCTCCTCGCTATTCATCTCGACCTGTTCCAAATCCCCTGTCCCCTGCAAAATACGGGTGCCAGCTTTTTCTCTGTCGATCACTGAGCTTTCAAGTGCTTGTGGCATGACCAAGGTTGACACCACAAGAAGCAACAGCCGAAGCCTTGAACCGTGTTATTACCGTACTGTCTGATTTCATGCCTCAACTAATTGGCATAAAGACCAGTAAACTCAGTTATATGCATCAGTGGATGATATAACAAAAATAGAACTCGGTGCAGAAGCGAGACGGTTGATAAGCTCGCAGTAGAGTTATGACAGAAACCGTCTAGAATTATTCTAGTTTGCCCCAGTTCAGTTATGAATCGGTAATTATTCACATGAAAATCGAACCTCAAACCTTCAGCCAATCAGCGTTTACCCGTTGCAAGGCCCCAGACTCCCAAGGTTAGCTCCGGCCTTTCAGCTCCAGCTCCGATTTTCTTTGTCCGCCGCTGACAAAAGCAAATCCATCATCAACTATCGGAGGCGCATCACAAGGTGGCTCGATGATTCTGCAATAACCATTCCACAACCCACTCCCTCCCCTCTTCTCGCCAATCGACCCCAACTCTCCAACTCACCTGGGGGAAAACTCTCTTTTTGTTTCTCGTGTTTCACACTTTCTGTCTCTATTGTGTCGTCATGGGCGTTATTGGTATCGGCCTCATCGTCGCCTCTGTTGTCTGGGTACTTGTTCGTCCGCCGTCATGGATGCCAGAGCCGCTGCAGATCCTCCTCCGATGGAGGGGGACTGGTCCTCCTGCTATTGTAGCTAAGGACGAGGCTAAGGCTGAAGCTGATGATGCTGATCCTGGACCCCGTATCATGGTGTCGGATCACGAGGTGGAACCGGGCCCTCGACTCCGGGCTCGTCCGGCCGATAACCGTACCACACGAGAGGACGACCAGCGTCGAGACCAAGGGAAGGCTACTGCTACTGCGATCGATACACCGGCCTCCTCGTCCAAGAGCGCCAAGAACGATGCTGCGTCTATGCCGCCGCCTCCTTTACCCAAGGTTGCGCCTCCACCTCCAATCATCGCCGAAGCCGAAGAACAAACAACTCCCAAGGCTGTCGCATCCGATCCTCCCTCTATTTCCATCCCCAGCTTCAGCCTCGACAATGCTCCTATTGCGCCGAGCTCACACCCCGCCCCGCGTCGGAACCCCACAGCCCCGGGCCCCGCTCTCTCCCCGAACCCAACCTCCATGATGCCTCCGCCTCCAGCTCCGGGCCGTCTACCTCCTCCCAAGTTCTCAGCTGCCCCACCAGCTGGTCGTCTGCCATCACTCTCTCAGTTCCCCGCCGTGAACTCACCGCAACGAGCTCGTGGCCCTCTACCAAACCGAGGTCCCCCGTCATCAGGTGGCCTGGCACCTCCACCCACACACTCATCCAAACCAAGCAAGCCTAATCGCAAGGTCCTGCTCACACCAGGCCACTCTCCTCTTGACTGGGCTCGCATATCTGGACCGAATGCCGACCTCCGCGGTGTCGAACCTCAAACACCATACCTGCGCGTGACCCCATCGATGTTGAAGCGCATGACAGGTCGCAAGGGCAAGGATGCTTGGATGGCTCTCAACGGAAAGGTGTACAATGTTACACCCTATGCCGACTTTCATCCCGGTGGTGTCCCTGAGTTGATGCGCGGTGCTGGACGTGACGGCACCAAGTTGTTTGGTGAGATTCATCCTTGGGTGAACTACGAGACTATGTTATCAGCCTGTCTCGTAGGCCTTCTTGTCGAAGAATCCGAAGGCACTGAGAGTCAGATGGACCAGATGGATTAGACCATGATATTGAAGAGACAACATATATCATAGACGCAAGACTGCTGGCGCATCCATGTTACATGGAAATGATATTATACATGTATTAGACTATACTGTTCGCGCCATAGATGTTCCTTTTCGAACACTTAGATGTACATTAGCTAGAAAGATACCCCACAGAGACCGGTCTTCACCGTCTCTTTCCAAATCGAAACTTGAGCTCATCATCACTGTCACTATCCGCGATTTCCACAGCTCTCCTCGTTGGCCGACTCCGCTTCGGAGGCTGCTGTCCAGCAGCAGGCTCTGCTGCAGCTCGTTTACTTCCCTGACTAGTGTTCCGTGATGCTTGACTCTTTGATTTAGCTTGCGACTGCGTTTGTGAAGCTGCGGTTTGTGCCCCTCTTGTTCGAGTCGCTGGTGTTGAGGATCGTTGCGAGACCTGGTTGCTCTCCTCATCGCTGCTGTCAGAAATGACATTAGCGTATGCCCTTTTCTGGGCACGGGATGAAGCTGAGGGTACTGTAGGCGCGGGGGGCTGCGACTCTGTTCCAGGAGCCTGACTTGAGTTCCTCTTCCTCCGCTCCGTTTCCTCATCCTCGAGCCAGTAATCGTCTCCAACGCCGAACTCCTTCGTCTTGACCTGCGTTAGAGGCACAATAGTCTTTGCAGGTTGTCGTCCCGTCGCCTCTCCCCGTTGCCTAAACCTTTTGAAGTTCTTCATCCCATTCCACTTGGGATCCCATCTTCCGTCACGGATGTCTTGTTCTCGAGTACGAGCATGGCTGGGTTGTCGTACTTCTATTTCCTCCACGATGTTGAGTCTGCGAATCTCAGCGAGATCAACATCATCAGGTAGATTTGCCAAATCTTCCTTTTCAGCTCGTGCGCGAGCCTCTTCCTGCTCTCTGTTTTGTGCAGCTATCGCTAAGACATCAAACTCTTTCTTGATCTTCTTCTTTTGCTCTGGGACCTTCTCGGCTGTTTCAGTTTCCATCTGCTCAGCTGGCTCCTCCAAGTCTTCACCTCGCTCTATCCGCTGACGCTTGAACCTCTCTGCTGCAGTTGTCATACCATCCATGAGGTCATCTTGAGGTAATGACGAAGCTCGCCTTTTCCTTTGTGAGGCCCTGGCATTACTGGATGGTTGCGTTTCTGGTGGTGCATCTGGCTCCTGGGACACGAATAGTCCTTCTTCCTCTGCTGGCGCTTGTGCCGCATTCTGAGTCGCAGCACGGGTTGTGGGTTGATGCATAGGCCCCGCTACTACAGGAGTATCGTCCATGTCCACGTCGTCATCGCCACCGAAGCCTGCGAAGCGTCTCTTGACAGTTCTCCTCGTTCGCCCACGTCGAGGTGCAAGCTGTGACTCTTCGGCTGCCTGTGACGTTTCAGCCTGTGTGGCAGGGTGCTGTGTCCCATTGGCCACCTCATGATCTTGAAGAGTCTGATGTTGGTGTTGTGTATTATGTGCGGACTCAACCTCAAGAGGCCGTCGAAGTATACTCGCATCTTTGATGAGAATTGCTTCCAGAAACTCACTCTGTTCAATGGGGCGATGGTCCAGTCTCAGAGATACAGACCTGAAAAACTCAATATACCAATCAACCGAGCCTCCCCTTGACGGGACGAATCGCACTACTACCACACCTTTGCCCTCGCTGCCATCATTAAAGGCACCGAGGCCCTTTTCACCAGCGACACTTTTGACATATTGAACAAAATCATCAACTGAAGTTTCTTCGGCAACAACATTCCGCAGCAACGCTTTGCCACCGCCACTCGTAATAGGCGCCAGCAAGTTGTTATACTGTACTTGGTCGTAGAAGATGAAGCTGTAGCCTTCGAATATGTCGCGTCTCCCTGCATCCGGGGCGTACATCGAGTCAGGGTGCTGTACAGGCTCGCCACCCCGCGGAGGCAAATGCTGCATCGCATCAGGCCAGTTTTGATCAAAGTCCTGCTCCAGAGGGCTCAAATCAGTGGCGTCCGCCCCATCCGCCAAATTTCCGGCTTCAGCCACTGCATCGAGGAAAGTCTCCGTCACGATGTGTTTTCCGTTGATTAACGCTTGAAGTCCCTTGGCCGTATTTCGCTTCTTTGAGACAACATGTGTAGTCGAATCAGCATATTCTGTTACAAGCTTGATATCAAGCTGCTCGAATCTTTTCCGTAGTGTAGTTAGGGGATCCGTCTGTAGTTCTTTGCTGGTGAAAGAAAAAGCAAAGACGACTGGTTCCCACGAGATGCTGTGGACTGTAAGCCGCGTAACACCAGATCGGATGAAACGGCTTACCTGAATTTGTTTGGGCATTTTCCCATCGTAAACAAAGCCTTGTCCCCTTCAACCACCTTTCTCTTGCCTTTGATCTTTTCTCCATTGACGACTGTACCTATTTTTGTCGCCAAATCTTCGATCGTAAGCGTAGAGCGGCTCCTTGGATTGTGTGCCTCGCCTTTCTCGACAGGGCTGACGGTGATTGTCAAGTGCTTGCGTGAGATGGTATTGTGTGATATCGCAAGTTGACCGGCTAGATGTTGCATATGAGCTTCAACTGTTTCGTCTAGGAGCTTATCTCTTACGTTCTGCAGCTGTTCGGCCAAATAGGTATGTTTTCCCTGGTCGCAACCACAACTTTCGGCCTACGGATGATTAGCTACATTGACACTTGAAAGTCAAAAACTTACCATCAAAGGCCTCTAAATTCTCCAAGATCCACATCTCCAGGCGCCAAGTACGACGCGAGGTCGTTCACGATTCCATACAAGTATTGGCGAAGCTGCAAGTTATGACGTGAGGTCGGGATCGCGAATCTTGCGGGGCCAGAGACGCGTTCAGGTTAGCCTTTCGCGACGCCAGATCACGTGCCTACCCTGATCTCACTTACACAGCGTCAATTACGGGATGAACAAAGAGTTGGTGAAGGGATCAGCTTCCTTGGTCTTGATAAATTAGTCAAACTTGGAGTTGGTGCTCAAACAAATATTGTCTTCTCGAAAAGGTTGAGGTTCGTCGAGTTTATCGTATCAAACTTGGTCTCTGATGCTGCAAGCAAGTAGGCAGGTCATAATCATAACCAACAGTTACTTCACTATAATCTTTCAATCCTGTAGTGTCGCACGCTAGCATATTTGCATCACGTTGTGCTGTTTCGTACTGAAAGTTGCATCTTCTTGTTACTTTGACCATCTTAACAATATTTGGCAACAACAACATCCAAATACTCAAGCAGACCATCAGTACTGATCCCAAAACAGTATAATCTTGTGTCTTTGATCTAAATTATCTATTGAAGAGCCAAGGAAATAAGGCAAGCCCGTCTTAGTTCTATTCCGGAAATGACTTGAATAGCCGTATCACATCAGAGCTATAAAGGCACGGTTCAGTGACAACTCAAAAAGATAGCGATCACAATAATTACAGTTACTCCTCAAGTCAACAGAAATAAAGTATTTGTCATTCTCATGAGGTCATTGTCGAATTATTCATCCCTTCTGCCTCTCATCTCAACTAGCCTGGTCTCCAATCCTTCCAAGCCCATAAGAAGTCATATCTTCGCCAGGTTTGCTGGATTGGCCAGGCTTGATTCAGGTACTTGGTTGAGTCAGCATTGAATACTACTTACAAGGCTGTTATACTTACTAATGCGTAGTAACGGTGCAATCGCTGCACCGGACATGATGGCAGTTCGTGCAAATGGTATGTACTGCCCAATCCCAGGTCTGAAGGCAGTGACACTAACAATGATAAGTTACACTCTATCGAGGTAAGGTTTGAAAGAATACGATTATGACTTACACATTTCCAGTAATAAGTGACTGGTTCGGGAGCCATATTGGGCTACCTAAACTTACTATCAGTATGAGCCCATTGTAATAAAAGATCTTGGTTACCCACATGTGATTCGAATATATCGTAAATATCGGTAGATGACTTACACCCATTTCCGAGCTCCAAAACGGGCTCGAAGCTCGAGCTTTATTCCGATGCGGCTCTGCGGTCGACTGACACTCAAGGCTCGGCGTTACCGCAAAGGATGCAACCCAACGCCGGCTAAGGTACCAATAAGAAGTTCCATTTGCCCAGAAACGTGATAAGTTCACTTTTAGCCGGGTTATTCATTATTAGTGCCATTTTGACGTCAGTGAATGGGGTTGGGGGCGAAACTTGGATAGTGTTGATGATGATAGGTGAAAGCAGATGGAACCTGGGAAACCTGGCATGCCAATAGAATGAAGCCTCGTGCTACACTGGCTGAGAACATATGACTCAAGTAGAGTTTCGGGATTAACAGACATTTGTTATTGAGGTATATCCGGGCTCCAGTGTGTCTTGAATGAGTTACATCGGGCAACTCTGATAAGAACTGTTGAAGACACGAGACTTGAGACGGTAACTTTGAGTGCATGCATCAGTGGCACATGGCAGGGCCGGTTCACCATAGAATCCTTGTAGTCACGTCAGAAACTCCGTTATTAGCACTAACAATTTGGTCTGTGAGGCTTGAGTTGTAACTAAGCCCACTTACCTTGCTATCGTATGTTACCGATAGACAGTTAAAGTATGATTGGATCTCTGGGCTCATGATGGCCGGTTAGCTTAAACCAATATATGGAGAAGTGCAAGTGGGTAGGAATTGTCAATGCATTTCTCTTATTGTTGTTATATACCTGTAGGCTTGAGCTCTTTTAATGTGGTACCAAATGCTAACATTTAACAGTATTTGATCATAAACTCAACGCCAACGTTATTCTGAGCGCCGCATATACTTTTGCAATTAAGGACAAAATAAACGAGACATTTTACTTCAGCCCAAGAACAAGTCTCTAAACCTTGCTGGGCTTATAGCATTCAGCTATCATCTTCTTCCGACCAACTCTCCTACTCTTGATACTGATAGCACCGCTCGCTTGGGATCTAACCCGATGAATTTCCTCGGGATCGTGATTCGTAGCACGAGCGATCTCAGCGAGTTCGCCAATCTTCCAGCCACGAAGGAAGAACAGACACAGACCTCCAGCGATGTACATTATGCCGACAAAGATTTGGGCGCCGATGTACTTTCCGGTACCTGCGACGATCTGCAGAGCAATGGGTGTGCTGAACGTACAAGGCAAGCTGATAACGATCCAAGTCAGGTTCAGGGCAGAGGGAACATCAGCAAGGCCTACGACTTCAGCCGTGACTGGAGCAACCGTTGCCCAATAAGTTCCAGCCATGCCACCTCCCACAATCGTGAAGAAGAGAAGAAGTCCATAAGATTTGGCGTTGATCCAGATAGCAAATACGAGAATTGCAGCTAGCCAAGTTGTTCCGCAGGCCATATTGATACGTCCTGTGCGATCACTGAAGTACCCGATGAACGGACGACCGGCAGCCTGACCCAGATTGAAGATGGCGCTGACCATAGCTGCTTGAGAGGCATCGAGGCCAATGAAGTTTGCATAGTTTGCCAAACTGAAAATGAGAACCACGTATCCCAACATGCTGAACCATCCGTAACCGAGAAGAAGGATAAACTCAGCACGCTTCAAAAGTGCGAGATCGAAGGGTGCTTGTCGAGAGCCGATGATCTTGTTGCGATCTTTAACGAGGATGGTGCAGATGATGTTGACGACGAAAACAAGAATGCCGAGGATCCTATAGGCCCATGCAAGACTGATATTTCGGATGATTGCTCCAGCTGCCAAGGAGTATAACAGACCACCGAGACCCGAACCAGCAGCACTAATACCGTTTGCGAGAGATCGACGAGTAGTGAACCATTGAGGGACGATACCGACACTGGGGACGAAGAGAAAACCCATTCCTAGACCGAATAGAACACCCTGTGTGAGGAAGAGTTGATATATCTTTGTCGCAAAGCTGGCGCATATCAAGCTAGCTGTTTCCAAGACGATGCCGGCGAAGAGAGTAGGTTTTGTGCCGAATTCGCGAACGCAGAGTGTAGCAAGGGGCGAGGCCAGCATGGCACAAGCAATACTTAAAGATCCTACAAAGGCGTAGTGAAGGGATGTTGCTCCGGGGAATGTGTTGTTGGCGATGAAATGGGCGAGAAAGACTCCGTAACTCGAGTTGAGACCCCATGTATGGGCGTTGATAGTCGCAACACAGGCACAACAAACCCATCCATAACCTCCATTGGGTGGCGGAGGCGGTACATCTGTTCTCGGGGGAAACATATCACCATTATCCTTCTCCTGGCTCGAAATTTGCTGTTGAACGTCCTGGGCTGGAGTGATGACATCGCCTTCTTCGGTAGTGGTGGTGTCTAGACTCCTCCGAGCCGAACCCGTCTCCGGCTCCGGGGACCGGCAGGTCTTTTTCTCGTCGTTGTCTCCCATTTTTAGGTCAATTGGGAGATAGAGAAAGATCGGGGAGTCATGATTTTAGAAAAAAAAAGGACAAAAAGGGATCAAGTGCTTCTTATGACCCCGGCTTAGAGGGACATCTAGGGCATCTCCGACAACCGGAAATGGCGTCCGGGGATAAGACGGGTCCATTTTTTATGCATCTTGGCTTCGGCTGGCGGCGCATAACCACGCGGGGCTTAAGCCATCTCGGTATGTCTCGCTAGGATGTTTTGTGCTGACCATCTCTAATTGGATGATATATCTTACAAACTTAGCCAAGATCCAATGGAGCTGTCTACTCAGTGCACCAAGACGAGTCTCCCTTTGGCTTCCGTATACGGGCAACAGACGGTCGTAACAATAAAAACAATGGAAATAAGATTTCAGCCTGGGGATAAAGCGGGGGTGAAATATCCAATCCAATCTCAGCCGATCTGATCGGCTATTACCCGCATTCGCTCCCACTTCCGCCCGCCTTTTCCTTCCTTGTTGCTCTCCTTGTGACCTTTCGTGGGGTAATGCATATACATATTTGACAGAAAGACCCGGCATTTCATGTCGGTGAATAGCAATGTCGTCTTTTCTGCTTATAAATGCTACATGGTTTGTCATAATATGTGTCAAAAGCCGCCAAGCTTCAGCGCTGTTCGTCTACTATGCCGAGGTTTACGGAGTTGCCCCTCACGGACTGTTCAGTGGGAATAACACCATGTCATAGAAAGGGCGTTCATTCGTTATTCTAGCTGATGTTCTGATATGCTAGCTTGCCAAGTCAGGTGAGCTAGAGGGGGCGTGCTGGAAAAGAGAGAGAATACCTTCCAAGGCAGCCGTTGTCTTCCCAATAACTTCACAGGTATAGCATCCTAAGCTTGGGCTATCTTCCAAGGCTTAGGCTTAATGTCATGGCTAAATCGAACAAACTCGTCATAAGATAGAGACATTTCTTCCCATTCTTGGACTCCGAGGGGAGCAGCATCTTAATCCTATCGAATCTTGGTCTCTCCCTGGCTAACCCATACCACCCTGCATCTGTGGCCGATAATTCATTGTTACTGAAGCGATACACGGCTTATGAAACATTTTATCGAAATTAAATGGACTGAGCATGTATCAAAAGTCATTGAAAAGATGAATGGATGGGCGAGTTGCAGTAGACCCTCTCAGCTGGCATCAACTCAATTGCTTGTTCGAAACATACTTCCAGAGGCGTTGTTCAAGACTATCGGGTCATGGCCGCCCATGAACATGGATTTTTGTCTTGTTATTGAGAACGTAACATACGAACATCAATGGACGGAGCATATTTATGACCTCAACTAAGAACAACTGACTAGGATAAAACAAGGCCTTTGTTACTAATAATGGGATTGTAAGATATAAATGTACCATAACCTCGCCAGGCTTTGAAGCGAACCTAACTCCTCATTCCTCTGCGGCTCTTTCATTCAGTACTGATTCTTTGATCTAAATTAGCTATTCCTTCAGCTCGAACAAGAGAAGAAACACCCTACGTCGCCCAGAATGGCGGTCGGCCTCCAAGTCGCCGGCCCAGGCGCCATTGTCACCCTCGTCTTTCTGAGCATCATTATAACCATTCGCCTCTCAAGATTCTCCATACTACAATATGGCCGCAAGAAGTACCGAAACCCACATGAACGCTTGAACTTTCAAAGGGAAATTTCTGTCATTTTGACGATTCATGACCCAAATGACCCAAACATGTTGACTTATGTTCGAAGTATTCTCAAAAACAAGCCTGAGCAACTCTTCATCACTACTAGCGATACAAAGGCTCAGCACCGGGTGGACGGTAAGTTGAATGGGCTGAGAGCAGCGTACTCGGCTACGCAGATTAGTGTTGGTGCTGTGAACGAGCCGAATAGACGTCGTGAGATCGCCCACGCTTTGAGCTCTATCAACACTCCGCTGACGGTCCTGACTGATCAGGGTGTTCATTGGCCTGAGGGCTTTCTCAAGTCGGCACTCATCCCCTTTGCAGATCGTCGTGTTGGATGTGTCACAGTTCCCATGATTGCACGCAAGCCAGATGGAATCTGGGATTCGTTCCTCGCATGCCTGTTCTCCTGTTACTACGGCCTGATGGCAGAGGAGAACAGAGCCTTCAACGCACTTGACTGCTCTGCAATCTTCCCGGGATCGCCTATCTTGTTCCGCACGTATTTAGCTGCTCAGCTGAGATTCAAGCAGCAGTTTGAAGTTGAGCCGTGCTTGAACCGAAGGCATGGTGTTCACAAAGCGGACGAGTATCTGTTCTTCAACCGCTATTTCCTCCAAGAAGAGGCTGTCCATGGGGCGCCTTGTCTTGTTGTTTTCCAAGATACGCCGGAAGCGACGGTTCAAGTCGACAGAAGATCTATTGGCGAGTTTCTCCGTGAGTGTCTTCAGATGACTCGGAATCTTTGGCGTCTCAGTCGTGCCATGATCCGTCGGAAAGAGCGCAAGACGTATCCCTACGCCTTTTATCTGACCCATCTCAGCAGTTTTGTGTCTTTTACCATGATCTACGAGATTATGATTGTTTTTCTCGTACACTTCACGATCTTATTTGACGACGAGTGGATTGCTTGGGTCACACTCGGATATTTGCTTTACATCTTGCAGGCGTTCGTGGCCGGACAGATAATGAAGCGTTTCCGCACCGGCGGTTACGGCTACGGCAGATGGACGCTTCTCATGGCCATTATGGTGGGTATACCAGCTCATTATGTTCTCGAGGTCCTTAAGCTTGTGGCACTGGCCACCGCATGGAAGGCCGATGTTGAACTGATAAGTGAAGCTGACATCAAAGTGCGAGTGGGCGACCCCGGTGCTTTATGGTATCACGTTGGCGGCGTTGAGGAAGCTCGAACGGAGAATAATGAACCGCCATGGATCTCAGGATGCATGGAGATGACGAGACCCCAGCGCGCACTTCAACCACTGCCCGATTTTCCAATGTTCGTCATTGATGAATAGAGTGTTCGAGGTCAAGGTAAGCTATGACAAGTATTCTGGTGTGTCTAGCTGTGGCATTGGGATGGGACATGAAAGTTCATACCCTTATATCGAGAGAATAGAGGTATACTAAGAGTTAGAAATTTAACCTCGAAGTTGATTGGAATAAAATTGAAAGGTAAGTGCTTTTCTCAGTGTCAAAGTTATATTAGAGAGCCCCAAGACTGTCTACCTTGCTCACTTGGATCATCAATGAGGCAACAAACTGTGATATGCGAAAATAAGTCAACATGGCTATAATTAATTTATCTTTGAAGTTGTACAAAAAATGATATTCGTGTTTCTATCTCCCGGTCTCACTTAAGGTCGGATGGCAGCTCACACGATTGCTCCAAACTAAGAAGCACCCCGACCACGCAGTCAATTTGGCCCCTGAGTGGAGCTCAGATACAGTGGCAACTTTCAAAACGAGAGATAAGATCTAGATCTCCCGAAAACATGTTTTCAGATTCAGTCTGGGGAATGTCTGTGGGGATAACCTCATGGGCACGTCTGTGCTTGCATATGGGGTTGAGTCCCCAGCATAGATAGAGTGGTGTGACTGTGGACCCAAAGTTATTGTTTCTTTATCATAAAGAGAAGTCAATTTTCAGGTTCCGGGGTCCCCCATATTGTAGAATAAGACGGTAATGCTGTGGACTGTTGGGAGTGTCATGAGGGTACTTGAGCATGGCAACCTATTCGGTTACAATGGTCTACGCATACGGTAGTGTTTCCAATTATTCGTTAGCCAGAATTGAATGGACTAATATTGTGCTCTACAAGCGGTCTTGACAGTAGGTTTATGGAGTCTTTGGAGTATCTCATAATATGTGAGAACTCTCCCACTGTGAGACATACACACGTCACCACCATATTATCTTAACTTGATCTACGTGCTTTGAATAAGTGATGCATTCAAGAGGCCTTCAGACACTGGATGTAAATCTAAGTACACACTACGTTTCAGGCCTGTGCTAGACGAACGATCCCTAAGTGTACTGACACCTTGCCCTCAACCAGACAAAGGCTTGGGCTAAGGCACAGACAGACTCGAACTGCCACAGGGGAACTTGCCGAACAAGAGTATCAATAATATTGCTATCTGTCATTGCCGTTTGCGGCGATGGCAACTACTCAAATAAGTCTGTGAGTAACATATTCTCTGTTGAACATCGAATTAGGGTGATGTTCTTTCTGAGGCCTCATCAAAATGAACACTACATCCCCATCCATCCACCGGCGCCAATACAACATTATTGAGGAGGAGGCGAAGCAGTTTCCTCACTGGATCTCGCGCTCGCGAGATTGGTCATGCCCGAGCTTCCCGGGCAACCTCCTATCGCTTTGACAGAGGCATCTTTTACCGAATTCAAGGAGTCAACTTCAGGGGAAACAGAACCGAGGTTATGCTGACTAGATAATAATTGCATTGATCAATGTCTTCGAGTTACGTTGCATCGTGAGAGTAAAGATTCTCAACAAATATCACCAACTGTCATCCGGAGGAAAGGAAGTTGCTCAAAAGGGAGTGAAAACTCTTTCATCTCGAGTCATTCTCCATCGTGGAGTACAACACAACCGAGGATAACTTACGACATGGCGTTTGTACAAGTCTCCATTCAGTGAATATCTATGTGGTGTGAATTCAAACTTCAGGGGTAGCAGTTACAGTGGAAACACAGAGGGATATTTAGCACCAATGATGACCAGCACTCAGCCTCTCACCCAGGAGGACATTGACGCATGCGACCCTCAGATTGGACACGGATATTGAAATCCGATATGCGCTGAAGAAAAAAGATGTGTCTGTAACAAACCATGACCGGCCGTAGTTGCCGTTCAAGACCCTTTTGATGAGCGGCAGCAGATCAGATCCTTGTCTAGCTAGCTTGGCCCTCGCGGCTCTTGAGGTCTTGGCTGGCGTAAGTGTGGCCTGTGCGTGTTTGTGTCAGAGATTGATGAGGGATGAGAGCAGGGTTTTTGGTGTTGGAGAAGGGTGAGGCGGGAATGACTGGTTTGTCTTTGTCTTTGTGTTTTCTTATCTTGGTGTTTTGCAGTACAGCCTTTTATTTTGGGTTTGCACTTCGGATCCGCAAGCTGTATCTGTCAAATAAAAGCCAGTAGGGTAACAATGGTGACCTTTAAGGGCAAAGATGCTTTCGGTGTCTCGGACAGAGCGAGAAAGATGATATTTCCGCAGGCGGAATTTGGAGGTGGCGAGACAAGGCAGAGGCAGTGGGAGAGAGCGGATCCTCACTCATACGATCAAGGATGATAGTGGAACCCGTCAGGTTATGATGATGGGGGGCGAATTTTGGAGACTGTTTTTTTTCTCCATTCTTTATCGGTGATGATTCTACGGTGAAGACAAAGCGAGATTGGGGTGATCGTCTACATAAAATGAGAATGCTCGGGATGAGGTTGGTGGTAAACATATCAACGATACGGGATGAGAGAAGACTGTTACTCTCGTCTTGTGTAAGGAGTAAAGTTGGATGAACAAACAGTTGGAGACACCCCCAAGGAGCAAGAAAACTTCTGACCTTAAACCAAGGTGCCAAAATAACCAGTCTAAAGGCATACTAAGCTAGCTATACTAAACTTACCTAGATCTTTTTGTCACTTAGGATAGACACCCTAAGTTTTCTTGACTCCCTTGGCACAGTAGCCGTGGCGTCATCGCTCTCAGTTCCTGCACCACACTCAGTCCCCTGAAGTGGACGACGCCACTCGCTGGGAAGATCCCTGCACCTAATTGCTTCTGGAAAAACGGCCTGAAGGTCTCTCTTTTCCTGCAAAAAGAGGCGTAAACTGAGTCATAACTTCTTCACAAAAGGTGCATATCAGCATATCACGACTCAGTCTGCAGTGCAATTCCTTACTCCTCACGATATCACCCTCAGTCGTACAGTAACCGAACGTCACTTCGGTTGCTCCAAAAGAGCCGCCCAGCCAAGCCCTGCACAAGCGGAAGCGCTATCAGTACCCCTGAACAAAAAAACAGGAGGCTCAAAAAAACAATGGATTCTAATTTGGGCGCATCGATCATTCGATGTGATAACAGTATCCGTCTTGTAGCCGAGTGACAACCGAGGATAAAGTGCAAGCTAATTTTCCTCATTAACCAGACATTCCCCTCCGAGGAATTAGACTCAGACTGCAAACGGCCCTTTTTCTGATCTTCTCGTGTTTTGGTTGAGAATGTTGTGTTATTTCATCGGAGGATGAGCCCTTGAGAGGCGACTGCCGACGTTATTTAGCTTGGCGATGTGCACCATTTCTTAGGATTGGGGGTGCAGCCTACTGTGTGCGTGTGTGCAAGCCATGCATATGAGTTTGTGGCAGTTGGAATGAGTTGGAGTACGGCGAGAGAGGAGGGAGGCTTTTCACGATGCATCGGGTCTTGGCTTATTTACTCGCTATTCCCGCCTGATCTCTCTTCTCCACATTCCCTGAGGAGAACCCTACCACTTTCTCGCTCAGGCCCTTTTTTGGAGAAGATGTTAAAACTTGGCAGTTGTCATAACGAAACGCTGCTGTATCCGTTTCTATGTCACGGTGATTTCATGATCGTAGTTCTCACTCTTGGCTCTTTGTCCATTTGAGCCAACGCTTCTCTCCAGCTGCACAACTGCATAATGATCACCCTTCAAACGAGTATCCCTCTGCATAACCGAGGACTGCACCGTGCTGTATATCAACGGATAACTCGGCGTCAGATAAAATGGGTCTTTTTGCCTCTCTTTCGCAAATTCAGTGACGAAAGTGATGCTGCTCAGGCCCACCTTCGGCCATCGTCCAGAGGTTCTCTCCTCATTGTTTATCTCTGAGAGATTCTGGGGAAATAAATCGGGATCTTGAACCCCAGAGTCCGCCCCGGATTGTTTAATTCAAGTTTAAATCTCCAGACTTTTGGTGGTTTTCTTGTCTTTTTCTGGTTCAAGATTTTCTTGGATGTAAGTCGGCGATGCTGTCATAGGCGTGCACCAACTTGATCACCTCACACCCCTGCTAGATTTCTCCAATTCTTAATGAGTGTACCCCTCACATCCCACGCCCTTGGCTTTTTCCCTCTGTTGCATCTCGGCCGCAGCCGTCGGAGGAAAAACATCAGCCTCCTTGGCTGTGTGTGCCCCTGCCACTAACCATCAACATTGCCGACCCTCCCACTTCAACAAGACTTTGCAGCATGGCCTACGACTAAATTCTTTAGCAAAATCACCACGTGCTCTAAAATGCTAATTTCTTGGAAAATATGGACCTGGTAGTGAGATCTTTGCTGGTTTGCAAGGCAGATCATCACCGCCAGGTGGGCGCTAGGTGGACATTCCGCGTGGCTCTCCACGCTTTGACCGTGAGGCGACTTGGTTGACCGGCCTGAGTTTTGAGCGTAAAGAGCATTGGGTTTTTACTCTAATCTTGAGGTTGTTTCGATGAGATTGGGGTTTTGAGATATTTGAGTCGCGGAGGGGAGCCTCCGGTTACAATGGCTGGTGATTCAATTGCCCAAGAGATGGTCAACATTAAAAACTCTTGCAACGTTTGCCTACAAACAGTCTTCACAAAGGCTACGCATGAATTAGAATTGCAGTTCGGACAAATGATAATTACAAGAGGTTTATAGCAAGACAGTACGAGCCATGATTGTGCATAGCTCAAGACAGTTCAAGGCATTGATGATTGATCAACTGATGATCTTCAGCTTCAAATCCATTTACACGATCTCCTTCAGACCTCTGCCGACCTCAACTCCCGAACCTCTCGTTTACCTACAGTATTTAGTCAAATGTCTTTCCCTCACAAATCATCTTCTCCGCAAAGTTGAGGGATAACCCCAGCACAACCGGATCTCAGATGCATGCTAGGACCAACACGCTGCATATCATGCTATGTAATCCGTAATACGCGCTTGTTCACACGCTGAAACGTCTGGAAGTCAAAGGCCGACGGCGTCTTTCCGATACTTTTTGACCGTGCGAGTAGATCATTCAGTTTCTCCTCATATCTTCCCCCACAATGTGATTGCATTCCCCGCGGGTTGTGCTGTTCTCCGGATTGCTGGGGTTTGGGTTTGTGTGTTTCTGATGTTACTGAGGGTCTTTTGTTTGAATGGAGAGCCAATTAGAACAGCCAGAGGGGTGGCTCTCCTTTACTTGTGGTTTTCTTCAGCTTTTACCGGAAATATATGTTTTTGTTGTCAGGAGAGGAAGATCATGAGGTGGACAATCCGGGCCGTTGTGCCTTGCCATGTCACCCTCATAGACTCACAGTCACCACCACGATGATAGTATATTCTTAATTGAACTTGTCTCTTGTTTGTGTAGCAGTATGGCCACAGTAATGATTAACTATAACTTTTAGTTAATATGCGTTTGATGTCCCCCAATCTGCAGTTGTTGTTGATCTTGCACCCCCATTCTAGACCCTTTCGACCCCAAAAAAACCACCCTAGTCAGACATTTTTCTCTCCACGCCCTCGTCGTCGGGGCACTCCACCGTCACTCCACCTACGTACCCATATCACTCCACAGCACGTTCTCTCTCTTACTGTGTGTGCCCTGTTCCTCCGTCTCCAGAACCTAATTTGATATCTCTCTTCAATTCCCGTGTTGAGTTCTGCCCTGGTCTAGTCTTGCTTTATAAATCTGTCTTGCTCCCGTTGCCACTTTCGATCTCGTTGTTCTTCTTGCTATTCAACTCACGCTTGGTCATTTATAGACCTCTGTACTATTTCTTGTCTACGATTGATACATCACTTATAGAACATCACTTATAGAACATCACTTATAGAACATCACTTATAGAACATCACTTATAGAACATCACTTGGACTTCAGTAGTCCGCATCAACACACATCACCATGGCTCAACCAATGCCCGAATACCAACAACAATTCTCCAACGAGTCTCCTCACGACTCAGACAAAACTCTTGAGCGTCAGACAACTGCTGCCCATCAACAAGCTCATCCTCATCTCTATCCCCATCCCTCAAATATCCATCCCGCTTTCGGTGGTGCTCTGCAACCAGGTCTCTGGAAGCCCGTTGAGCACCGCAAGTTCGCCAACCCAGCTCCTCTAGGACTATGCGCTTTCGCTCTCACTACCTTTGTCCTGTCATGCATTAACATGCACGTCCGGGGCGAATCTTCACCTGCTATTGCTATTCCTGTAGCATTTGGTTATGGTGGTCTTGTTCAGCTTTGCGCTGGCATGTGGTATGTTGTGCTTCACACTCAACTTACATCTGATCTAACATATCCTCAGGGAAATGGCTGTTGGAAACACATTCGGTGCTACCGCCCTATCATCATACGGAGGCTTCTGGATCGCCTACGGTCTTCTCCTGACACCAACATGGAACGTCCTCGGCGCTGATGGTCCTTACGAGGGTGATACTGGTTCCGTCATGGGCTTCTTCCTGACTGGCTGGTGGATCTTCACAACACTTCTTCTCATCTGCACCCTCAGGTCCACCCTTGCCTTCTTCTCCCTATTCTTCTTCCTCGACATCTGCTTCCTATTGCTTGCATGCGAGAACTATGCTCACGATTTGGGCAACCACGGTGCTCAGCTTGCTCTTCAGAAGGCAGCTGGATTGTTTGGGTTCTTGGCTGCGTTCATGGCCTGGTATAATGCCCTCGCCGGTCTCCAAGACAGCAGGTATGTCTCACCACTTCAGTGGATGAAAGTATACATCACTAACAAGTCACCAGCAACTCCTTCTTCCAGGTTCCCGTCATCCACTTCCCCTGGTCTGATGAGGGTCGGGCACACCGTCACCACAAGGCCGAGCAAAACCTTGCTTAGACGTGCATTGATGAAGTTTTCTTGCATTTCACGCGTTACGACTTGGATTCTTATAAAATAGGGTGTATACGTTCCCATTTCCGGCGAACAGGTGGCTTGAGTCCGCTGCATTGAAGGAGTTTTAGAAGGTCATTTCGCTGTACCGGCCAGCGATCTTCGGCTTTTGTATTTACAAACGCCGCTGAAGCATTGCGGCTCATTAGATGGTGGTTAGCATGTGATATAATAAGCTGGATACTGTACATATTTGGAAAAACGAGGAACCTCATGTTCATTGTCTCGAAGTTGATTGAGTGCACACCTGTGATCAATTCCCTAGCGCTACAATATGCCGAGATCAATGCAGGTAGTGCAGCAACCATTTTTCTGGGCCTGTTGCTTGCAGGCAGTATCTGGACAATTACTATGCCTTATGAGGCGCGCTAGAATCTTGATCATGGTCTCAAACGTCATATGGATCATGGTTCCTGCAGGTTCATCGTGCAGGCCGATGCTGATGTTGACGCCAATGCCGAGCTCACGCCACTTGATGACAGCCACAAGGCACAACGGGGCGCTGCACTGATTTGAGACTGATCCTCGGCCGATACTCTTTCTTCTCAATGATGTCCTTAATAACTTAGTAACGTGATACGGAAAGTATCGTTTGTAGCCGTTGCATCGGTACTTCATCCTCCCGTCATCCCGAAAGTGGGGCCGCCCAGCTCCGGAAAACCGGGACCGACCGATCGGTACCACGACCGATAATCGGAAAAAAGCAAATGCAATTATCAATCTCAATCTACTAATCTCTAAACTTATTCACGTCTGCCGAGATCTTCGGCATATTATGACCATATCATGCGTCGTAACATCTTCAAACCCCTTTTCCCTTCTAGACCAGAGAAGCTTCATTCTCACGCATCATACGATGCAACAGAATCACCTGATGGGCCGTGAGCCACGACCACAACAGTCCACCATGATCCAACACCTCATGCTGAGCAATCACAACCGCTATTTCAACTGCAACCAACTCACTGTATAAATCGCCGATACCGCCCATGAGTGCCGCCCCCGCAATAATAACCTAATGCCTCGCATCCTTCGCTGGACAATGAGCAGGCCGCAGATCCTGTTCCTTTCATGCATTGGCTTCGCAGTCGCTCTAACTGCTATGCTCTACGGAAACTTCATTAAACCTTCGACTATAACTTCTGTTTTCTCAAAGACCATGTCTACGCGTCCCGTTGTCGTCGTCGGCTCCGGCCTCGCTGGTTTATCAGCATCGTATGAGGCTCTTCAGCGCGGGGCTCCATCAGTTCATCTTCTTGATCGTGCGCCTAAGCCTGGCGGTAACAGTATCAAGGCTTCATCTGGTATTAACGGTGCGGGCACCAAGTATCAGCGCGCTGCTGGCGTGGAGAGCGATACACTTTTCTACAGCGACTCTGTTAGATCGGCCGGGTCGCGATTCCATCTTACACAACCTCCTGTTGATCGTGAGGCTCTCATCACAAAACTCACTACCGAATCAGCAGCCGCCGTCAACTGGCTCGTTGATGAGATCGGTGTAGATCTCAGTGTCGTGGCACCTCTTGGTGGCCACAGCGTTGCTCGCACTCACCGCGGCGCTGGAAAGACACCGCCCGGAGCCGCCATTATCATCGCTTTACTCAACAAACTCAAGGAGAATGAGAAGTTCTCTATTACAAACCTTGCTGAAGTCAAGGCACTACTTAAGGAAGGAAATACCGTCAAAGGTGTCGAGTACGAATTGGAAGGGAAGAAGCACAATCTTGAAGGATCAGTCTTATTCGCCAGTGGTGGCTTCGCTGGAGATGCCACAGGTCTTCTGGCACGTTATCGCCCTGACTTAAAGGGTATCCCTTCGACGAACGAGGAGAGACCCGGATCTCACGATATTCTTACAGCTGTTGGAGCCGAGCTATTAGATATGGACAGCGTGCAAATCCATCCAACAGGCTTTGTCGACCCAGCGCTGCCCAACTCTATGCTCAAGTTCCTCGCAGCTGAAATGCTTCGTGGTGAAGGCGGTATTCTTCTTTCACCTGAGGGTTCTCGCTTCGTTAACGAGATGGATACTCGTGAGCATGTCAGCAACGCGATTATGAAGCTTCCAACTGCCACTGATGGCGACGGCGTTATCAAGCAATGGGATATTACTATTCTTCTTGACCCTGGTGCCTCTGCTGCATCGGCTAACCATATTGGCTTCTATGAGTGGAAGGGCCTTCTCAAGAAGGTCAAGGTGCGCGATCTCAAGCCCGCTCAGATTGCTGCTGTCGATAAATATGCCAAGGCTGTCGCTGAGGGCACAGATGATGAGTTCGGCCGTAAGCAGCGGGGACGTTGGACACTCAAGGCCGGAGAGGAGAACCGCGATGAGGATATCTATATCGGCCGAGTAACACCTATCACACATTTCACCATGGGAGGAGTGGCCATTGATGAGAAGGCCCGCGTATTGACGAAGAGTGAGGATAAGCTTGTACCCATTCCAGGTCTTTTTGCTGCCGGTGAGATCACGGGTGGTATTCATGGAGATAACCGCCTGGGAGGATCTTCCCTACTGGAGTGTGTTGTGTATGGAAGGACGGCTGGTGCTGAGGTTGTTGGCTCGGCTCAGTGAGACGATCACTGCTTTTACTGCATGTTCAACTCACGGATGTGAGGTGTGATTATTTAGAGTTTAGCATAGGATAATGGACATTACTCTACAAATACGCTCAGTCATGAGATACGCTTAGGTCATAAGCCGCGGTATTCGCTGCTTATTCCAGGATATCGAGACTTACACAATTGCAACAAACGGAAGGTTTATGCACTTCTTCCACATTGGCCTATGAGATCCTGGAATTGGCTGAATTGTACCACGCCGACCTATCGCAGGTCCTACCAGGGTCATGCAAAAAATTGTTTGGGCAGCAGTGAGGGCACCGAGTATGTTGCCATATGTGTTAATATGCGTTCTTTACCTTTGTGCTGGGGGCTAAAGCTTCTTTTAACGCCTTAACCTTATACATGCAGTAGCAAGAAATTGTACGCCAACACACAACCCAACAACCCTCACCATAGCCATTTACTTCACAGCTGTCTCTAATCCAATACCATTTCCTCAGTTTAACAACACCATGGGGCTGTATGACGGTCAAGAGGAACACGATAACCTTGTATGGGACAAGAATGATGAAGACTTTGAGGCGGCACAGCGACAACTACGATTAAAGACCTTCTGTCGCAGAGTGGAGGCATTCGTTCAGAATAAGTTCGACAAACCTGCCAGATTCGACTCGCAAACATACCCAGATGTATTCTGCCACCGAAAGACAAGACATACATGACTGCCGACGAGTGGTATACTGCCTTGGCGGAGATGCATATTGCACAGCTCATATTCCAGCATAACGATCTTGTAACGTCTGAGGATGACTGCCGGAACAAGTATGTGGCGCGTATGGTGTTTCGCAGATTAGCCAGGCAGGATTGACTATCAACCTTCGGGTTTGCGCAAGATACTTGGTCATCGCAGTCATCCAGAGTACCCCTCCCCCCCGAAACGCTGTCACCTTGCCCATCCAACTCCGACTGTTTCCGGCTATGGGGCGATGACTTTCGAGCAGGCAACATCCTTCTCAATAAATCCGATGAGATAGCTGCTCTCATTGACTGGGAGTATACATACGCTGGACCTACACAGTTTACTCTTGACCCGCCATGGTGGTTGCTACTTGAGACGGCAGAAATGTGGTCACCAGATCTTGACGATTGGAGGAAAACCTACGAGTCTCGCTTAGGCATTTGGCTTTCAGCTATGGAGGAAGCAGAAGCCAGCATGGACAAACCAGTCTGCAACATTTTGCCGGCGCCCTTATCTAGGTGTATGCGAGAGAGCTGGCAAACAGGCCGCTTCTTTCTAAGCTATGCGGCCCGTAAGAGCTGGGTATTTGACGCTATTTACTGGAACTTCTTAGATGAGAGGTTCTTCGGCGATCGAGATCCTGGTGTGGTGAAAGACGACCTCTGGAAGACAAGGATTGACTTGTTGAGTGCTGAGGAGAGAGCTGCCATGGAGTCCTTTGTGCAAAGCAAAATGGCTGAGTCCAAGGAAAGACGTATTGTAGAATGGGGCGAAATAGAGGCGAAGAAGCGGTTTGCTGAGCTCCTATTGGATTAGTTGACCGGGACTACAAGTCTGTAAAACTCACTGCTGGCTAAAGTCGTATCTCACACTCTGCAGCTCTCGTACCAGGAACCATGCCCTGCCATTTAACTCTGGGGTTACAATGGATTTAGTAGAACTCCATACTAGGAATAGAATGGTAACACAATCAGCGATTAATCACCAGACCAAAGGCTTCTTACAAAAGAGGTTCCATTAACAACCCGCTTTACTGTATCTTAAACCAGCTGTCGCATCCCTCTTCCTTTAAGAAACTCTTTGTCATAACAGGCTTCTCCGACATCTAAATACAAAGATCCCTCACTTCCTTCATCACTCCAGCTTAAGAGGGTTCACCTTAAAGAACTCGTCAGGAGTGACAAGCTTACCCCTCGCCCTCTCAGCTGCCCAAGCAACCGACTTCTCTCCATCAGCACCATAGTATCCAAACTCTTGGCCAGCTTTAAAAGCTTGGACGTAAACATCCTTCAAGATTGGTAGCTTCTCAGCAAATTCCTCAGAGGAGATTTGCTTGTAAGCAATCACCTTGCCAGTGACCTTACTCTCAATGGCAACTAGCTCCTCCAGGCTGTAGAACCCAGCGGCTGCATCGAAGCCTGCGCCTTCATACTTCTCGGGCTCGGCTAGAATTGCGCCGACGAAACTTCCGCAGTTGCTACCGTTGTCGATCCACGGGATGCGAGTCTCGGGAGTGAAAGGGAGAGAGACGGCCCAATTGCCATGTTCATCCTTCTGAGGAGCCCAAAGAGGGACTTGGATGATGTTCTCGAGAAAGAAGCCAAGACGGACAAAGGCGCTCTTGACGGGGAGTGTGCGAATGTACTTCTCGCCCTCAGCCTTAGCATCAAATGGGTGATTGGCAGTGTACTTCCCGCCAGAGACATCTGTAGTGCTAGGAAGACTGCTAAAGATGATGTACTCAATACCAGCTTCAACAGCTGCATCAGCCGTCCTCTTGATGACTTCAAACTCGGGCTTCAAATCGGTAGCAGTCCAAGCAGGAGTTGTCATGAAGAAGAGTGTATGAGCTCCCTTCAAGGCAGCCTTGATGGAAACAGGGTCAGCTAGGTCGCCTTGTACGACTTCAACACCCCGCTCTTTGAGCTTTTTGGAGTTTTCAGAATTGACATTGCGGGTGATGGCGCGAATCCTGTATTGCTTTGACAGCTCTGGGTCGTTGAGGACGAAGTTTATGACTGCACCGCCTTGTTTGCCGGTGGCGCCAATAACAGCGAGAGTCTTGGACATTTTGATGTTTTGGTAATTGGTGTGTAATTATGGTATGTGTATGAGTGGTGAGATTTAAGGTGATTGTGATGATGGAGTCTAAGATGGCACCTCAGCCGTCTTATATATTGCCAGCACCCTGAGATGCTGATCAATGTACCACATTCACCAAAATTCCGCATATTCTGAAACCAATGATTACTATCCTATCAAAGTCCGCATATTATCCTCCGAATTGAATCCTACAGAGAAAGCCTCCGGTCTTTGCCAAGTTTGCCGATGGCGAAGACGCGAAGACAAGGGACCTCTGGAGATCTACAGGGCTTAGCGCAGTTTTTCAGTGACTAATCTCACTCTAACAGCGTTAATCAACGTTAATTGATGTCACTTTTGCGCCAATGAATTCATCCGAGGAGCACTAAGCAATGCGACTTCGCTTGAAGGATGCTCCGAGTCAATTAATAAGCCTTCAAGACTAACACTGAAGACTCTAAATCAGGAGGCGAAAATAAACAGGCCAAATACCCTACTAAATTGATCCTAAAGCATCCTAAAGTGTCATAAATTACTCCTAATTACTCTGAATTATCCTAAATTTATAAATATTTTATTACTTAGACTAACGCGATCAATTGATCTTATTCAATCAAGTAATACTGGCTCTTGTTTTCTATCCAAGTATGTATGCATTCGTGGTTGAGCAATATTTCCCACCAAAATCCAACAATAAAAACGAGTATTAGGGTAGTTGAATGCCCAATCAAACCTTTCTCTTCCCAAAACTCCCATCATGAATCCTGAATATGTCTTCCAAGCTCAGCAAAGTCCCCGACATCCTCACCAGTAAGATCCCAATCCGGGTTATTGTACATGGAATAGCAATGCTTATAAAAGTCATCAGGCGGGATATCACCCATCATCATCTCTTGCTGTGAGCTCCCCTCTACAACTTCAGGCATAGGAACCCAAAGGTTAGAGAAGTTGTCCCACAGATCTGTGTCAAGAGGCATGAAATCTTCTGGTGATGTTTGACTTTGGGCTCCTCGGATGAGCTCGCCCTGATGGAGGTCGCCAAAACCAGAGGGAGTTGCGCCGTTGGTTTGTGTGACACCGTTGGTAGTTTGGCCTTCGCCAGGTGGTCCTTGAGGAGATACGTTGACCACTTGTAGTGATTCGATCTTTTGCGCCATTACTTTCCATAGTCTCTTGACCTCTTGCAATCTCTCGCGGGCGTATGTGTTTCCATGGTCAGCAAGGTGCTGTATCTCTTCCAATGCATGGGTCAGGCCGGGCTTGGGGTTAATCTTCATACTCTCTTCGCAGACTGAATCCAGAATTGCAGCGAGAATCATGATGAACGCAGCTGAGAAGGAGGCCTCGAAGTCATAAAAGCCAAAGATTGCTTAAGCCATGTTAGCAAAAGAATATCAAAAGTCCAAGGTCAACTTACCAATCATGTTGCGCTTTCTGAGCGTGGCGACGACCTTGAGCTGTCGCCTTGCAGCTTCAGCACATGTCCTTGATAATCTCCCCAACGGTGAAGCATGTAATTGCTCCCCCGTGAGACCATTGCCACTAAGAATGAGTTTCGCAGCGTGGAGCATAAGTGGTCGGATCGTAAGAATAGTTGCCTGTGCTATAGTCAGTACATTTACTCTGTCTCGCCACCAACTTGCGTACCTGGAAAAGCATCAGATGCAATGAAGCAGTCGTTCTCAAAGACTGGTCCCGTCCCAAGTTATACACGTCTGTAACTGCATCTGAAGGAATTTCTTGGGAGATTTGGTACAGAGATTTGACGATATCTTGGACGTGAGGAATGAAGGTGGATTCTGACTCATCTTCAGGATTGTAGAGCACTGTTGTAAGTGTCAGTCGTAATGCAATAAGCTTTATAAATGCATGGAGAATTACCAGCCAAGATACGCCCCGTGGCTCGAGCGATCCTGATGTTTGTGCACATTGGGCCAACAGGTGGGAAACCGGGTGAATCAGTGGGAAGAGGGATATTGATTGCCTCATCACCGATACTCGGAGGATTGCCTGTTGCTGCAGCCAGTCGTCTAATTGCGCATATCCATTAGCCACTATTCCGGGAGTCCATGCATTGATTCCCTTACCGTTCTTGCATGTAAATAGTCCACCAGAGACGGTTCATATGAACTCTCTCAGACTGCATCAAGTGCCTCGTTCCACATACTCGGTGATACTTCTGTGAGATTGCCAGGCGCATGGCGGTGCTGATCTATAGGCAAAGTCAGCCGTTATTCCAAAACTTTCTGATGAGACAGCTTACATATAGGTATGCCTCTTCTTTGCGATTCATGTTGCCAAGATAGATAGCAAAGAGAGCGAAGATCTCGATACCAAGCTTTCCGTTGAATCGTAAGTCAGACAACGTCGGGACGTTTCTATGGGCGTATTCGAAAAGTCTAACTCCTGAGAAATCATCATTTCCCTCAGGGTTAGCGTCGAACAGAGTTCCAATGGCAATCATAAGAATCATCTCGAGAACCCATAGAGACTCCATCTGAGCAGGATCATCACGGCTCTGGTAGAAAGCCCACATCTTATCAGAAAATTCACGAGCATCGATGTGATGCTGCGACTGACCAATGTAGAACAGAGCTGTATCTAACAGCCGTTGAGCCTCATCTCTTGGCGGCAACTTGGGAAAGTCACTGCTGGAGAGACGCCATGGATGGCTGATAACTTCGTGACGTAAGTTTGCCTCAGGGCTGATCCAGGGTTTTGAGGTTGGCTCTGACTCGGGACGAGATGAGCCGAGTAAGTCCTGGACTCGAGAGCCAAAGGTATGACTAGAGCTGAGGGAAGAGCCAGCAAGGATAGCTGAGTTATAAGCGTGAGGTCAGAAGGCTTGGAGAGAAATCAACTTACTTGCAGCTGGTGATGCCTGAGTGCCATCATAAGGAGGGTATTTATGTTGAGCTAGGGGTGCGGAGAAACTGGTAGAAGGACGGATGAAGCTTGAGGATCTTGATCTAACATGGAGAGGATCTTGAGGTGAGGAGTGTGATGTCTGTGGGTTGGGGTTGGAATCCCTCCTTTGGCCATCCTGTGTAGCAGAGACTGGAGGTTCTGTGACTTATTAGTAGAAGTCGAGCCATAATAGGAGAAGAGTAGATGCATACCAGATGCCCTAGGAGGTAGAGTTGAAGGCAGTCCATCGTAGCCATCTCTTTCATATCTAGCTAGCTTGCTCTCAAGTTCCTCAATACGACTAACAAGTGACAGGCATTAGGTAAGTCCTAATTTGGGTTATGGAAGAACATACTTGGCCATATACATGCGCTTATGTCCATGCTCAGGAACCCTGCAGTCCAGCCCACGCTTGGTGCAGTACTGACAAGGAGTAGTCCCCGAACACCGAACCTTTTTCTTCCTACATGTAAGACACCTACGAAGCTGTAAGTCACCAGAAAAAACAAAATAGTGGAGAACGAGATATCAACATACGCCAATGATGCTTTGCGTGCATCTTTTCCCCCATCGGAGGGCGCCGGACGCTTCCGAGCCATCGAGGCAGTTGAGTCGTCGGCCACGAGGGTCATTGGGAGGTTCTCGAAACGAGATGATCTGACTCCAGAGATAAGAAGCTTATGGAAGACTCGACCGAGAGTCTGGGACTGAATGGGCTGAAACTCCGAGGACGCGGGGACTTGAGCGTTGTTATTCTCTCGGGATGGTTCCGGACTTTGATTGCAAACTTCTCCACACGATGATCCGATCACGTGAGGGAACAAACTCCATGTTCCCCATGGAGGCGGACCAGCTTCCGGCTTGAAATGATAATGGTGGTCCACTAGAGAACTCTGGTGGAAAAGATAAGCTGGGGATTTGGGTGGGAGCACGGCTTCGAGGCCGATGGATCAAGCCACCGGAAAACACGTTCTGTGAAGTTTTCCGGGGTACCCTTGTGGCCGATTTGGTAACTATCAACACAGGAGATCAATAGAGGATCTCATGAAGAGATCAGGTTCAATTGATGTGTGATATATCTGTATAATCCAATACGTTGTTTTGACTAATATGTTCAACTGATGTCATGAGTCAATGGCGTTTGAAGATGTTGAGTAAGACAATGCCACTCCCCGACATCGGACGATATGACCGAGGCATCGGAGGTGCTTCCGACGTATCGAAATACCTCATCGGCTTTGTCATTGCTAAGTGCTATTTACCAAATGAATTTGATTGAATTTATTAAGCACTTTCAAGATATTTCTTACTCATATAAGTATAGAATTAAGTCATGTGCCAAGACAAATTACCATATGTGACAATGCTAAAATCAATAACTACCGCCTATTCGCTACATACTAAATACTATACAAATCCCAAAGGTATCCTAAACTCATCATACGTAAGCATTTTTTTGAATTATCACACACCCCGCCTCTCTCACATCCTTGGCTCACGAGGCTGTTGCATCATTGACGCTGCCATCTTCAACCTGTTCCTCGCCTCAGCCAAAAGCTCCCAACGCGTGTTTGTCAACGCGTCATCAACAACACTCAACAAACCAATGATCTTGTTCCTGTTCCCCACTACGCCGGCTTGATTTTGGTGCAAGTGAAAGGCTTTGATAGAATCAATGGTGGGCGGGATCATGATTTGGAGATATGTCCGAAGATCCTCGTGGCGATCACGCTTCAACGCCTCGTAGTCCATGTTCGATGACATGGGCGTCTGCTCAGGGTGAGATCCTTGAGGAGTGTTGATAGTGCCTTGGGCAGAGGATGAATGAACACTAGCCTCGGTGGCCATTGTCGGTATACCATAACTGCTAGAAGGATATTGTAGATGAGCTGGGAACGGTTCGATGTTTCCATCTTGAACATATCCATATGCCCATAATACCAGAGAAGCATAGTATAAAGCCCAGGCCCTGACTAGCAACGTATCGCTCCCGGCATCGTACTTAGGATAAGTAGATGGGGAAAATGCCGATGGCATACCACTAGCATCCTTAGTTACGCCTCTCCTGGGCGCTTCTTGGAGAAGAATAAGCCGAACGAGCTGGAGCGCGTGGTAGACTCCACCAATAGCTCCAGGCGATG